TCTTTTCGAGATCCGATTTCAAACCGTCCGCGGCACAGGGCTCCCTCCCACCCACCGCCATCCATCGGCGGCTCCCCCTTGTCGTACACGTATATATATATGTTTATAATAATATACACCGAACGGCTGCGGTGCTTGTGTAACGCGTGCGATAACATTTGGCAACGACGTCGATCAGGAAGACGGCGGCGGCGTCGGCGTCGGCCGGATCGGTGCGAGGCTGAACAGCTGCGCGCGTGCACGTCGACTCGTTAACGTACGGCGTAGCTCTGCGAGTGGAATGAAAATACGTTCCGAGGACGCTTGGTCGTCGGACCGGACCCGAACCGGCTCCGACCGGTGCGCGACGCGTGTCTAACGAGACCGGACCGCGGAGGGATCGCACGGTGCACGCATGGTCGGCATGGTAGATGGCTTTGTAAACGAGCGCGCGCGGTCCCGTTGTGTCCGCACGCGTTATTTTTATCTTCTCGTCCCGCGGGGACCGTTGCCGCTCCGAACACGCCAATATTCGTATGCCGTACGGGGACGGGCGGTCGACGCGCCCGCGCGCGCGGCCAGAACCGAGTACACTGCTCTGCGGCTCGCGACCAGTCCACTAGACGTGACCGTAACGCCGGGTTCACCCTGTTGCAATTACTTGCGTTGTAGACTTGCTTTGAATATTGTTTCGTTTCAAAAGCGATCATTACGTACATCCCTGGTTCCGCGCATCTTCGTTTTTATATTGGTCCGGTTTTACGTTCCGTAGTATCGGTCGTGATGACGATAAAAAATAATTCATTTCAATACGTTCACTCTTCGTTCAAACTATACTTTGGTTTGGAGGCCATTTCAGTGTTTAAAAGAAATGAAATTATTACAAAAAAATAATGAACGAATTTCATAAAACACAATCACATTGATCCAAGTGGTTCACCATTCGTGTTCGGGAATGAACTGGCATACAAGTACCTAATAGCATTCAAACTATGTCCGACATGTTGGACTGCATGCGTATTATCAACGTTCGCATTCGTTCAATTTCGTTCTTGCACGAGTAAAAATAAACTTGCGGGAAAAAGCATACAAGAAATTGCAATAGCGTGAACCCGGTATAACGCGTGCTATGATGCGTAAAGTATATACGATTTATACAAACCAAATGCGTATACGCTCATACGTGTATAAGTACGCGGACGCTATAACGAACACCGTTACGCGGTGCGTGCGTGTAGTAGGTCGGGAAATATTTGTTTCGCGCACACGGTTGCCGGCAGTCGGACTGTCCGTTTTTCCGAACGAAGCGAAACTCGTTTGGGAAACGCTGGAAAATCAGGAAAATCGGGAACCGTGGAAAGTAGCTAACCAGTCGAACGGACGACGCAGTGATAACAACATCTACAAATCGTGTACCTGTTACGAGGAAATCTTTTGATCGTAAAAAATCAATCATATTACTTGTGTGTGAAATTGTATCGGATATCGGCAAAACACATCGGATAAAATGATACAATGATTTTTACGTGTTTTACCTTAATGTAATCGTTAACGATTTCTCAAATTTACTGAGAGAGCGAACTTAAAAGAACACGAGTAAGAAATCGGATATGACGTTGTTTTAATGCCAAAATCAACACGCTGTTACATTATTTATTGTTAAATACTATATATTATAAGAAAATAAAATATGAAGGTTGATATTTTGCAGCTGCAAGTTCTAGCAATATTGCAAGGACTATTGTTTTTGTAAAGTCGATTGTTTTCTTTTGTTTCTTTAATGCATGTATATATATATATATATACAAACTATGAATTTTTAAAATTTACTGTTGAAACAAATAAATCTCAATTTATAAACTTCTATTTGTAAAATTAAAAAAAAAAATCAATATAGAAAATGATTAAAATGATTATAAAGAACTTCTGGAACTGAATCTTTTTCTGAGTGAAAACCCACCAAATGGTATATCTTTACGCTATCCTGGTACTTATCATCATGCCAGATAGATGTCAAAAGTAATTTACTCTTTCAAAATGTATATGTTTCAAAAGCAATTTAAACTTGTTCGAAAAGACATTTCGAGATGTATGTATTTTTATAGTTAAATTATATTGAATTTATATTTTAAAAATCTTAATTGAATGCCCATATGAAGCTATTTCTAAAACAGCTATACATATTTTCATGAAAATGTATGATATCTTGCTCCTGAAAGTATTGCATTATAATTTTTTCATTTTCGAGTACCAACCGAAATTAAAATTAAAATGGTTGAAACAATCATCACAGGACATTGATGATACAGTTAACAAAAAATTGCTTTAAGTAAAGAGGATATGAAAACATTGAAAAAAAGAAAATCAAATTAATTTGTATCCAAAAATAGTTAACTTTTCAAGATTGAAATATACAACTGACTTTATACATTTTTACCAGGATAGTTGAAAAGAAAGAGAAGGCAATCAAAAAGAAGTTATTATTTTAACAATGTTGCGAGTATTACATGATGTTACAGAAAGAATCCTCAAGTTAGTTAAAAAGTATAATAGTATACTGACGAAAGATGAAAACCGAAAACAGCTTTTATTATAAGTTGTAAATGATAAAAATATCTATCCTGATTCTAAAAAAAAATATATTAATTCATACATAGAATTGTACAATAGAACCTTTATTACAATCCATTTTTTTTACATTTTTATTATTCTATTGAACTATTGTTTTATTTCAATCAGTGACGTATTTGGGATAATTTTTCAAGAGGGGCAAAATCTGTACATTTGATTTTGACATATTAACGTCAAAACGTTCACTATTCTAAAAACATAAAATATTTCAATCAACTCGAAACTCAAACAACAGAAACAACTATAAAGTATAATAAAAATGAAGTACTAGCACATAATATTGATTATTGATTATAACTATAAATAATTTATTCTTATTTTTAATCTATGATTATAACATAGAATTTGAAATGTACTCGTATGTAAGATACGGTTTCTGTTGCAATTACAATATAATTTATATATATATATATTTTAATATTATATGTATAATAATTATATGATATTTTATATATTATATATTATTTTTCATAGAAAATAATATATAACCAGAAATATTATAACATTTTTAGTAGACAGTATTTTAATTTATAATTAAGCTTCTATCAAGTGTTATGCTTTATGCGATATATTCTGAATATTATAAAAAAAAAACATTAATACAACAATGTTAAACAATATTCAACTTTTTTACGGCACGTAAAAGATTAGGTTAGTATTAGTCATCACTAAATTTAACTCACATAACTTTCTTATGGCAATAAAAAAAAACTGGAAGGGTGAGAAATTAAAAATATTGAAATTTCCTCTCCCTGCCTATAAATATGAGCCACCCTTATATATGTGTATATATAAATATCTTTTTTACCCTACCATACCACCTCTGATGAGTTATTTCCCTTGGTAACTTTTTTCTTTGATTTCTATCTATAAAATATCATATAAGACTTTTATCATCCCCTCAAAACATGGCTAATAAATTTGGCAAACCATGCCTTTAGAAACATTCTGTTTTTAGTTGTTATGCTACCCTTCTAGTTCAGCGTTCTTTCACTGCACACACAAAATATACATACGCACACACGTTTCTCGGTTCGGAATTTGGGAACGCGGTTTTCCTCAATACATTTTATAGTAATAATAATAACCGGGCCCGGTGTGTGTTAATCTCAGTCATCTCCAACACGGTCACCACGACCGTCAACGTGCAACCAACTCGCACAGATGATCGGACGATTAAAATACAGGCATTAAATCAGAGAAAAGTGTAGTACGTTCGGGTCCTCGTTCGCGCGCACCGCCGACTTTCAACTGCTTAAACTTGTATGTACACTGCTGGGATCACTGAGTACTAAATTTTTACGCGGCGAAAATGACTATAGTTTACGTACACGGAGGGGGTACGCATACCCGTCCGTCCGTCCCTCTCTTCTTTGCATTAATCTCTTTCCCTCGATCTTTCTCGATCTCTGCTCCTATCAGTCTCTCTCGCACACCAAATTTGCTCTCTCTCTCACTGTATATGATTATCTCCGTCTTTCTCTGGTGCTTCTCATCCGGGTATTTCTCTGTCGCAGTCATGAAATAATGCCAAAACATTACGAGCAGCCGACGAAACCAGAGCAATCCGGTGTGCGTTAGCGTGTAATGGTATTTCGAATGGCGAGCAACCGCGGCTGCTGCGGTGGGGGACACCGATGTCGTAGACAAAGCTAAAAATGCACTCGCCTTCGTGTATATAGCAATGAGAGTGTATTATAGTTATTGACGTGTTTGAGTTCTCCGTCGCCGTCGTAATAGACCAATGCATCGTTTAAGCGGCGAACGTTTCCATCCAGATGTAAAAAACACGTGTTAACCATCTCCTCCCCACCTCGCACTAAGAAACACTCAAGATCATTCTCATGTATACACGCAATCGTCAGCGAGCACGTACCGTACACGTACACGTATGTGTAGCCAGTGGCGTAGGTAAAGGGGTTTTGGGTTAAACCCTCCCCCCTAATTCCAAAATGAATAGATAAATAAATAAATTAGTGTTAATAAAAATAATCATTATCTAAATATATCGATCCCCTCTACCCATTAATCAATTTTACCTACGTCTTCGCGTGTAGCGAAAGCAAATTAATACTAATTAATATTATTATTATAATAATTAATATTAATAATAGATTATACATCATTATGCCGACGACCGATCTCGACCTTTGTAAGAGTAAAGGCGAACGTGAGGCCGACCGTTTTCAAAAAGGCGCGATGTTTTAAAACTACGGTTTATCGGCACGTGTCTAACGCGCACATTTTCACTAACGCCGAATGTCGAGCGACAACGGATAACACCGATCGTCACTCATATCATAACTTATCGAAACTTACATAAAACTATACTTATGTCATTACAATACACTCGGAGTAATTGTTAAACGTCCAACCGGTCAGCAACATACCTGTTTCCGGGCTTGTACACGATGTAGGTACCACGTGCGTCACGAGAAACGTTTGGTTTTCACAGCGAGCGCGCCTCGAAGCCGGCGGCAGCGATGGCGATGAGTACGGTTCGCGGCGTACGATTGTACAACCGACTGTTCGGACATGGAAATAAAAAAAGGATGGTTACAAAACGGTATTTTTTTTTATTTTTCCTCCGGACGTTGATCGTTACGAGCTATCGACGCGCGTGCATCACGCACGTTACAAACACGTACCTAATGGAGCCGTCGATCACTGACGGTGGTGGTATCGCAGTCAAAAGACGGGTTTTCGCCGGCGACCGGACGGATTGCCGTACGGGGTTCGTCTTCACGCGGGGACCTTCTCAGCGGTCGTCTTGGATGAACAATCGTTCCGAAAACGGAACGCCACGCGCCCGGCAACGGCTGTCCGAGGCGGATTTACGATGACGGAATGTTATGACGGCGTTGAATTCGACTTGGACGCGAGCGAAAAATTGAAATAACCGAAATTCGCGTACGTGCGTTCATGCGAGTGTGCTCGTGTGTGTGTGTGTGTTTGTGTAAGACGGTCGAGACCCGCTGCTGCCGACGTCCGCAACAACCGCACACGGAGAGCGCACTGGCGATCACTAGCGGCGGCAACGAGCTTTTTTGGCGCGTTTCAAAAGCGGCGGCGGCGGCGACGGTGTACAGTGTATGCTTATTTTAAGTGTCGGTCCGCCCAAAATGACGTTCGGTCCGCCACCGCAGCAGCACCGGCATCGGCTGGCGCGTAAGAACGCTTCGGTTCGCCTTGGAACGTGTGTGTGCACATATAACGGCACCGCCAGCACTCCTCCGGTGACCCCCCGATCGCCCCTCCCACCTCCGTGTGTGCAGCAGTCGCTTTCGTCGCCTGCCGCCGCCGCCGCCGTTACCGTCACAGACACCTTTGGTCACCGCGACGTCAGTCGAAGTCGGCACGAAGAGCGCTCGTGGACCATCGCAAATATGTACATACGTATATATATATATATATATATATATATATATATATATATATATATATATATATATATATATGTATGTGTGTATATATATGTGTGTGTGTGTGTGTGTACGCAGACGCTCGCGCGCGCACACACATACACGCACGCACGCACGTTCGGACCAGGAATAACTCGAACGCACGCCCGCGAGCTTTGCCAAAAAAACTTTTAAGACGTTAATTTTTTTTTTTTTTTAAATATATAATTATTTTTTTCTCCCGACCGAGTACCAAACTTTTACCTGCCTACCTGTTTAACCCGATCTGTGGTCATCGCGCTATCACGGGTTTTTTTTTTTTCTTTTCCTAATAATTATGCGTCTAAATTTAAAGTACTTCGAATATTTCACTGTTTTTGGAAACATTTCAACGCCGTTAAAATGTGTAGTGTATGCTCACGCGCACGAGTATTAATATTTTGAAAGCCTCCGGTTTTCCGAGATAGATTTCTTAATCAGACGCACATCACGGCTGTCATAAATAACGTTTCGCGCACAAAGTTTTAATGTTTCGCGGTCCGATCTCATCGCCGTAACACGCTAAAATCAGTTCAAGACACGGCGCTAATGACCGGGAATCCCGTAAAAGGCGCGTGATCCACCGTCACTTATTACATCGAACGTATTGCACACCGGATACGTCCACTTGAAATATTTCTTAGAGTCTATGCGATTATGTTTTAGTCAACAGTTTTGAAAGTAGTAATAATAATAATAATAATAAATAAATCTTTCTGTGTGTTTTTCACGAAAATCACAATAATTAAACGTAATATTTGACCCCAGATAAAAGTTATAATTCAATATAATACACACCATGTACACACTCAACGCTTGCGGTTTTCCCGAGGGTCCGCACGTAACATTGTTTGGATACCGATAGCCCGACGCTGTAGTAAAACACCACTCCGTATTTTATCGTTATATTTTTATCGTCTACGTTTGTGTTTAATATCCAATACATTTAGAATACAATGAAAAATGATTTATCGTTTAAATTGAATCATAAAATTATTTTAAACAAATCGAATAAAATGCTCGATTTATTAATAGAAATACAAAATAATTTAAAAACCCTATTTGTTTAAAAACACTTCATGTGTCATTAGTAAGATCTAACCTCAAATTCAATTCATTTATTTGGTCTTTCAATTACTCAAAATGTATAAACGATATTGATAATGTCCACTATAGATTTTTGAAAACAATTGCTTATGTCTTTAACATACAAATCACAAGTGATACCGTTAATGTAATTAAAAATTTCTGGATCCAAAACTCAATGAGTACAGAATGTAAATTAGCAGATATTTTGATAGTTCACGATATTTTAAACAGCTTCTTGACTGTCCTGAGTTATTATATGAAATTGGTTTCCGTATAACATGTAAAAACACAAAAAACTTTTTCTAAGTTATAAATAATTTTTAAATTTCTTATTCAAGAAACCTGTTCTTAATATCCCACTTTATTACCAACAGTGGAAATAATATATATTTTTCAAGAGCTTTTGCCTTGGCCAATAGGATAAAATAAAATAATTGTATTTACTTATATATTTATATTTACGTATATCAGAAATGTTAAAATATTTATTATAATCTTGAATCTTCACCTGTGAATATTAAATAAATATTAAATGAGTAATGTAAATCATAAACTACGATAGCAGTAGTCCATTGTATGTACTGGCCCATCATTTATAATCACGTCGAGCGGGGGCTATACTATCCGTTATGAACTTTAAGTTTCTTCCGTTAAACGTCTAACTTTTTATTTTCCTTTATGTACTCGTACTGCGTTCGTTTTTCAACTGTTCGTTTTAATTTCACCCAAAATATTTATTTTTATCAAGGATAGTATGCGGAATAGTACCAAAAAACATTTGAAATGACGAATTTAGGCATTCGAAACTAAAAGCATCCGATTACAAATAAGGTTGCATTCAGTAAATATAAGAGAGGTATCATGGTATAAAAATGAATAAAAAAAATTCTTTTGTTGTTATCAAACATGTATTATTGTTTTAGCTACCGTTATTGTCTTTATTTAAGCTTAAAATGTGAAGCTACACTGTAAAAAACTTTAAAATTATATGTTTAATTTTTTAAAGCATTCGTGCGGAATAATTATTATAACATGTATATTCTCTCAACAGGTACTTCATAAATTAGAGATAAATGGTAATGTATTTAATTTGACTTAAATTATACTCTCGTTATATTTTAACAATGCACAATATTTAATTATGTTCAAAACCAATTAAAATAAAAAGTATTCGTTAAAATATATATTTCATTTAAATAGATTTCAAAACATTAATATAAATTTTTTCCTCCTAATATAATTTTTTTTATATATATACATATAAACGCTAGAACAGAACATACAAAATACAAAACTCAGGTTTTGTCATTAAATTTTAAAAAAAAACTTCTTTGAATATAGCTTTTTTTAATAAAGAATAACTTCTTAAACTTTCATCACATTGGAAGATTTATTAACATTTTTATTTTAATATATTGCATGTAAACCATTTTACATTTTACATTTTACCATTATACAAACACAAACATCTAAACTAAATTATAGTTGAACTAATTCGTAGTTCATACGTCAATCATCAATTGAATGAGAATAGCTATTTTTAAATTTTTACACAGTTCTCCATAGTCGCTTATCAATTACAATGTTCCATTTCTAACATAAAATTGTTCCTTTTTCGGGAGTACAAAAATTAAAATTTCAAAAAAATCAAAACAAAAAAATATTGACCATTATCTAAAGAATAAATTATTGTTCATACTCATATTCATTTATTATTTTCATCCTCATAATGCAACATATTGGTATCCTATTTCTGTCCAAGTTTAAAGGTAATAATAACTATTTATTTTAAGAGAGTTTTTATTTTAATTATTTTTGTTCTTTTGTCTTTTTTAATGAATGTCTGAATCTTAAATTACTCGATTTAGTTTTCCTTCTATATTTAGATGTACTTATTAAACGATATTATAATAATTTAAAATAATTAATATCTTAAAAAATATTTGTATTATATTATTAATTGCATTCTCAAAAATTTGATTGTTATAATAAAACGTTTCCAATTCTAAGTTTCACTAAGGGCTTTAGTTTTCTTTAAATTTATATCCATAAAGTTTGTAATTTTAGCTGGATTCTTAACCAGAAAAAAACAAAATAAATAAAATATTTATATATATTAGCGTCAGTATCATAAAGTTAGAAATGTGGTACCTCTATTCATAATTGCAATAATAGGTAAATGAGTCTTAATTTTAATTTATAAATATATTCATACATATTAAGTCTTATTCAAAATTAACTCAAACAAAACTCAATCTATTTTTTAAGATAATTTTTATTCTATAATTATTATGGATTTTTCAAAGCTGAATTGTTTCTAAATACATTATTTTTCCGACAGACATTTCTATAATACCTGTGAATTTCGAAACAGTTGTACATTTCAGTTTTATCGTAAAATACAATTTTCAATCAAATTTTCCAATATAAAATTTTAACATTTTATTTTTAGCAATAAACTTTAGACATGTATAAAAATCCATTATATTAATCAGAAATGAACGCATTCAATAATGCTACATATTATGTCTCTGTAACTACCTCAAGGTGTATTTACAAACAGTAGTTTCTTTTGAAAATATTATTAAGATATTTAGTATTACAATAAATAGGTATTATTTAATTTATTTATATAATTTATTTAAGTGATTGTTGAAATTAGAATGAAAGAATGCATCTACTTACCTTATAACTAGGTGTCCAATATATAATGAAAACAACCCGTTAACTATACATTTTTTATAATTTTTAAACTTAAATTATTTTATTTATTTAAAATCTGACAAGATATTAATTTTAGTTGTAAAATTTTAGCTTCAGTCGTTGTACTAAAGAAATCATTATTAAACTCAGAAAATTATTCTTAGCGAATTTTGCTATAATATTATATAAATATTTATTGTTAGTATTATTGTTAAAAAATTAATTTACCTGTTTTGATATACTTATCTCAGTTTAATAAGACAGATCACGAAAAATCTTCTGAATTTAATTCTATTTAAAATGGTTAAGTCTTGAATAACATTTTCATGTTATAAAATAATTAAATCAGTACACTTATTAAAATAATTGGAATATATGAGCACACAAAATAAAACATTTAAAGCTTTTTAAGATTCAGAATGAAAGGAGGTTAAATGAAAGGCATGAATTGGTTTTACCATGAATTGTTTTTATTTTGTGTATACACAATTTTTAAAATTTCAGTTTACTATCAGAATTGCTCCAGTTATTGACAAACAAAAATATAAGTAGGAAATTAGTTTTAGTAGAAAACTTAGGAAGAAATAATTTTTTTCATTTATCAACAGTTAACTGAATAATTTAAAAAGATGGTGAAAAAATTATAAAAAATTTCAATTTTAATCGACATTTAAACCTAGAATTTTAAATCCTTGACGCCAGGGCTGTATAAAAAGGGTAAAGAGGGGCCACAAGATGAAAAGATTCACAATGTGTTTTATAATTGTTGGCTAACAAATATAAAGTATTGTTTTATAAATTAATTATGATTATGCTACAATATACAATATTAATATAACTCATATTGTTGTAATCATTGTGCACTTTATTTTCCTTAATTTGGAAGC